ATATAATTACGCATAATTAAAAAAAAAAAAAAAAAAAAAAAAAAAAAAAAAAAAAAAAAATTCAAATTCAACAATTGTTTTTTATAGATCAAAATACCTTAAAAAAATCGATTTAAATTAAGTTGTTGGTGTGTATGCGCAAAATATATGAGTTAAATAAATTGTAAGTCAAACAAAATAGAAAAATATGTAAAAGGTAATGATTGATATAGTGATTGAATGATAAGTATATAATAATTTGATATATTGGCAGTCGAACGAGTACTGACATTAGATAACTTATACTATTATATTACTTACCCCTCATTATTATTGCGAGCGATAATACCCGATAAAATCCGGTTTACAAATTGTAAATCCAGAGCGACGGTAGTGGCACGAAGCTAAGTAAAAAAAAAAAAAAAAAAAAAATAGCGGAGTGGCCACAGCGGAGTATATTAACAGGAAACCGAGTTTTAACATTGAAAAACCATCCTAATTTTTGTCAATCCTTTGTCGACCTCTACAGGGCAAACGGCTGAATATATAAAGTCGTATAAGGTATCAATCGATCAGAAATATTGTGTAGATGGGAACAGAAGAACTCGCTAGCAGATTGGTTAGATAGTTTATTAGTTATAATCAAAAATGTTCAAGACCGATTTTGCATGCGGAACAGTGGGGATGGGATTAGAGGTGGGTCGGGGGATATTTAAGATATTTTCGTCCCAACCCACCGCTTATCAATCCCTACAACTCTCATCGTGGCGGCGGCGGCGGCGACGACGTACTATGACGACGACGTATGACGATGGGCGATTTTGAGGGCGCGGTCTTTCGGATGCTGGTCGCCGGCAACTATTTAACATTATATTACGGTATTATATAATTATGCTGAAAACTTGGAACAATAATAAAATAAGCAATCTGGTGATTAATTCATTGGCAACAATTAAGTTCGATGGCAAATCATATGCTCTTATTCTGTGATTTGCCATCATGGTCCATCTATGACTCAAGTCCCAAGCCCATTACACATCAGTTATTTAACATAATAATAAAATATGGGTTGGATGTAATGATATAACATTTATATTATAGTTTTAGAAAAAAAAAACTAAAATAGAAAAAAAGATATAACAACAGGAGGTCAACGATGCATATGCTATTATGGATTATTATTATTATAAAAAGTCAAATAAAATCGCGACTTATTTCATAAAAGAAATAGCTGATATCACACCAAAAACATTTCGTTATAAATCCGTGTAAAAAAAGCTAAGTTAAAAAAACAAAAATTTACTAATGATTAAATCTTTAAAAGACGTGATATAATATGGAAATGAAGTAAAATGCCATTTTATAATATTACAAATACCTATGATGACAAATAAGATCAATTGTAATGTTAAATACTTAGTTAATATAATATTATGTTTAACTATTTGGCAGGATGTAGAAGTATACTTAAATAAATACAATTAAGTAACCACTACAGTATTTACAGTAACTAATAATGTATCAACAATATGTTGACTAAGTATTTAACATTACAATAATTGATCTTATTTGTCATCATAGGTATTTGTAATATTATAAAATGGAATCTTACTTAATTTATATCACGTCTTTTAAAGATTTAATCATTGGTAAATTTTTTTTTACAGTTATAACGAAGTGTTTTTTGTGTGATAAAATATACTCGGCAACAACCTTCGAGACGAGTTTGCAACTTAGTGGATCTTAATCTTAATTTTACAACAACATTATGAGCTTTGAAAATGATCTTTCAGGTGTGTAATTTTATACGGAAAAGCTTACACTAATTTTTAATACAACAAAAAAGATTGAAAAAATACTTAGAATTTCAATTATATTATTCTAAGAAAATCATAATCTTAATGATTTTAGTTACCTACTAACTCACAATTGATAATATTCTAATTTCTAAGATCACAAATACCCCCTTAATAGTTAATGATAGTTTTGGCCAATTCCAAGCCTAAATCCCTTGTTTGGATAGATTTCTGTTGCTATACATTTTTTATTTATATGATTCTATTTGAATAACTATACAATATTATAAACACTGTGAAAATGAGATAATTATATAGGTTATTCAAATTTAAAATAGGTACACAATTATCATTAAAAATGTATCGTTATATGATAGTATAGATACATTTAGATTTTTTGCCATAAAACATATTATATTATATTGTTATCATGTTGTCTTACATGTATAAATTGCTTAGATATTCAGGATCCAAATCTCGGAAGTAAGTACCTAGTTTTACTGTTGTCAATGTTCTATTATGATATTATATAAATGTTTAAATTTTAAAAGATTTATACCTAATTCACGTATAATATTTATTACTATATTTATCTAAATAAAAAAAAAGTTTTGCTAGTAAAATAACAATAAATATCTACTCGAATCTAATGCAAGTTATTTCAGATCATGTGGTTGATTATTTGAATGAGCAATTAACAAATGGTAATAGTTATTAAACTGCAGGAAACTGTCAGAAATCTGACACATAATAAAATATTTTATATTTAATATTCCTAAAGTATTAATATAATTCGTTCTATAATTCAAATATAATATTCAAATTCTTAAATAAAGTATAAAAAAAAAAAGATTTAAGTCAAACTGTTTTTATTTTATAGTTTTTTACACCCCATCAAACCATTGTCTATCGGTCTATAAAAAAGTCAATCAAGATACATCTATTATTTAAATAATAAGTATACATTTTTATTTTTTATTATATACTTGTAGTTTACCTTTGTCGATTACACTGATATTATTTATATTATATATATTTATCTATAGTAATAATCCTTGTTATATAAATATATAATATACTAAAAATATCGTTTTATTTGAAAAAAACATTATTTTTCTATATTATAAAATTATGTATTAATACAATTTCGTCAACATAGTACATACTTTTGTTTTATTATTAATACGTATGGACGTGTAATTAACATATTTTGTAGTTGCTGCGTGGTGTACTTTAATAGTTATTCAACTAGAGATATAGGTTATTAATATTAATAAATAATTAACAACTTCGGAGAGTTTTCAATAATAAAAAGTGGTCTGTATTAAATTGAAATACACAATACATCATAAATGAATTAAATAATAATAATCATCATACACACTTTAGGGATGTAGGCGCCCACCAGCTACTATATAATATAAAAATTAAAAACCGATTTCTCGTTATTCGAGAAAATTAAATACCGTGTGATCACGATATTAGGTACCACTGAATATCTCAGATGGGTGTCTTTGTATTGAAATGGGGTTTTCGGGAGGTGATAGGGAGCACTTAAATACTGATTGCGCCGGGACGGAACAATATTTAGCCGTACTGCCCGATCGCTGTTTACGGCATGCGCCGAGAAGGCCCTGTCCTCAGATGAATCACTTGACACGTTCCTGTTCGGAGCCTGCGAGGCATCAATGCCCAGAAAGAGAACGGGTCCCCAGGTCAGGTGTAATGGTGGTCAGAGGAGATTGCCGAGCTGCGGTGACTGACCCTGGCCCTCCACAGGCGCAATCAGGCCTGCCTTAGACGCGCCGGCCAGCCTGAGGCGAGGTTCTACTATATCGCCGCCAAGAGAGAGCTCCTCATAGAAGCAAAAAGCAGATCCTGGGCTGACCCAAGATTGGAGGTAGACACCAATCCCTGGGGCAGACCATATAAACTGGTCATGAAAAAGTTAGGCGTCAGCAACCCAGCTGCGGATTCTAGGGATAGGGAGGCTGCCATCGCGGATTCTCTCTTTCCTGCGGCCCCCGTGACGAATTGGTACTTGGCTTCAACTCAAGGCTCCCAGGCTCAACATCTTTCAGGCATTCGACCCGGTCCGGAAGTCCCAGGAGTTCACCTGTATCATCCCGAAGTTCACGCCAGCAGACCTCAGTAGGCCCACCAAGAGACTTGCACCGTTTGTGACTATGGATTTTTAATTTTTTTCATCTACCTTTCAAACAATATACTAAGAGCCTTCTATTAAATTTTCAAGCTTTTTTAACCAACAAATAAAATATGATTGATATTTATAGAAAAAAAACTAAAAAAAAATAAAAACTTCAAATTAAGTCAAAATATTTGGAAAATACTAATATAAACATTCAGTCAAATTGTCATGTACCTATGGTGATTTGTTTAAGAGTTGCAACAATAACCAAAATCGTTTGTATCGTTTTTTAGAAAACAGATTTTGTGTAAAAATTAACGTTTTTTCTTAATTTTTCTTTTGTTCTAAAAGGTGATGACGGACACAAAAAAAAAAAAAAAATAAAAATAAAAGCAGAATTCGATTTACACTGATATTTTTAATATTAGAGTGAATTGAACTCAAAATATCTCTCGAGGTACACTAATTTAAATGTATAAGAGTGTTGATTTATTTTAAACCGTAAAAGGTGTTATGTATTAAAAAAAAAATTAATTTAATTTTAT